TAAAAAATGTAAATGTCAAAAAATTAAACTCTATATCTTTTATATTTAATTATATTATCTAAAATTTAGATATAATAAATAAAAATAAAATAATTGTAATAAAATTAGTGTCATCTTAATATAAAATATATCATGTCATTCTTTTCTTTTTTTGGTCTTTAAAATATTGTCTTCCCTTTAAAAATAATTATGAACTTCCTTTTTTTTTTTTTTTTTCGTTGAGCGATAAGCGCCTTTGGCGCAGTTATCGCCTTTTGAAGCGGTTGGGATTAACCGTCTCCATACTTATTATAATAATTCATTCTCCGAAAAAAAGTTGCATAACCCTTTTCTAATTGTTCCTCTTCGACTTCACACCAATTTCCCCTTCTTGAACTTTCTCAGTTTACTGGAACTCCTTCGCAGCAGCAGCAGTGATGTCTTCTTGCCTCTTCTTCTGCCGCAAGCTATTGTCTTCGTCTTCGCCGGCCACCGGGTGGTTAAGGTGTCATTGGGCGTTGCGGTCAGCCAGGTGCGTGAGTACGACGGAGGAGAAGAACGCACGGGTGGTGACTCTGAAGAACGGAAATGATTCGCTGGTGATATGCCGAATTATTAATGGGATGTGGCAGACCAGCGGCGGATGGGGCACCATTGACAGCAGCGCTGCCGTCCAGGCTATGCTAAGCCACGCCGACGCAGGACTCACCAGCTTCGACATGTCCAATCACTGTAATCATTTATATTCTACCTTCTGTTCTTCCTTTCATCCCACTTGGGACTGCAAGCCATAATAGTTCAAGTTATTTTTCTGATATTAGGATAACTTCTAAGATGCTGTATTCCTTCCTTTATTATAAATACGAGGCTCTTTTGATTACTGAATACGACACAAATCTTGTTTTTTCCCCCTCTGCATAAACTTTTGACTCGGCTATCGTTCACACTTCACAAAGCATCTATTGCGAGAATTAGGCTTCTTAAAGTACCTTTCTAGTAAAAACTTTTAATATTTGTACTAAAAAGCTATTTTAAAAAGTAAAAAAAAAAAAGATCATCTCAAACGAAGCTTTAGTATTTGGCATGTTGTTTCAATTTTCCAGGTCATTCATAGATAAACTTATTCTTTTCCAAGTCTATTGTAGTTTTTCTGTATTGAAAGGACAAACGAAAGGTGTTCGAGTAAGGTTTTTTCTTGAAGAAGGTAACCATCTAGGCTAGTTCCTGACTGTAATGTGAATCTTTTTCATGATGTGCTCTTTATTTCATTTCTAGATCCTGATAGTAATAGGATATATGGCTAGTTCAGGACAGTATATTGTGTGATATTCATGTTTGGAAATTCATGATAACTGTTTTGATTTACTTCTTGATGATATAAGGAAGTGAAGTAGAAAATAAATTTTTCTTAAGGAATTTCTGTGACAATAGAGGCTTAATGGTTGATGTAAATTGCTGGAACGGGTTGATTAGAGGGTATAAACGTCGCAAGAAATGTCTTGCGATGAAGTTTTATTATTGAAATGGAGGAATTCTTATTCAGGGAGATGGTTAGATTAAAACACTTCACTGTTGTAAGGAGCAAGTAATGTGAAGCTTCCATCATCATATGCTAATGAAGTAGGAGGCATTCCAGAAGAGCATGCTATGGAAGTTTAGAAGAGACAAATATCTTCATGAAAATGACATTTATGAAAAAAAGATTTTAATTTTTTAAAAGATTGTACTACAGAAAGAACCACTTTTAGCATAAGGGCAACCCAAGCTACGAAACTTGGTTGCCTGGGATCAAATTTTGGCTATATTGGTAATGTCTTGAGCCAAAACAAATGCAGCCAAACTGCGTGGATCTTACTGCTTCACTTAGAAGAAGCGCAAATGGCGGGCGGGTCATACAACTTAGTCCTATAGGCTAAGATGCCCAAAGGGATTTGAGTTTTGGTTAAAGGGTCGTTCATTTAGAAGTTCGCTAATGCTTGGATCTTACTGGTTCACTTAGATGAAGCTCAAATGGCGGGAAACATTCACAAATGATAAAAGAATGGAGTGGGAGACAGATTAATCATGTACATAGCAATTAAGATGGTGCCGCCCAAAATTTCTTAAGAAGTTTGACTAGGGATGATAAAGCTTGGGCTACCTTGAGCAGGTGACTATATTTTCTTTCAGCTATTCAATTTTATTATAGAGTGAAGAAACAAGAAGTTTCATGGACGATATAAAAATTTCTCATTATAAATTAAAATCCATTATCAATTCGAAGATCTTTCACTTAAGTAAGAAGTATGTCAACGAAAATGATGAATTTGGTGATGTATAAACAAGTATCTGATTTGTGATGCATCAATGAGTCTAATCATCGGCGCTGGCATGAAAATATCTACATGATTGGCTTTGAAGAAGAAATTCTTACAATCTTATTGATCGGGTTTGTTATCTCTTGAGTTTTTTTTAGCATTCAATTGACATAAATAGTGTTACAATTGCAGTGGTAAAGTCATATTTGATCAGATACACTTAGCTTATTTTAGATAAGTATAGAATTTCACCACAATTCTCAAACTTCAAATGAGGATATTTTCGTGCACAATTCCTCTCAAACTTTGTGAGTTTCTATTCAAAGCAAAGGCTAAGGCTTTGACTAGTTGTTTACTTTCATTTGATATTCCTTATTGTTTTTAATCCTTGAGAATGATATATTGAGCTTTCTTGATGGTAGGAAATGGATCCATGAGTAAGATATGCCCTCAAACAACAACATGGATTTCATTATGTCTCACAAGGAGTTTCTTAGATTTTGGAATTTGTTGGAATTATAAGACAATTTTTATTGCGCCACATATGTATTTTAGATTTTAACATAATACACTTCAGTCATCCTATAGGACTTTGAGCTTGGTCATATTTTCGATCTTTTTTACAATCATATATGACTTCCTTGACATAGAAGTGATAGCATTAGTGCATGGAAACCATCCTTTAAATCAAACTAGATTTCATGATCACTTTCATTGTATATAATGCTTTATTCAATGTTTTGGGAGATTGAGTAAGAAAAATGAAGCCTTTACAAGATTATTATAGTTTATCCACTATTAGAGTTCGATAATGGAAGACTAGTAGTTGTAAGATTGTGCTATTGGTGATCCTTCTTTAAACTTCATGCTGAGAGCCATGAGCATGACAAGGCTCCAAGTGTGCCATGGTTTATTTCATTTAGTATGAGCCATGGTATGAATAAGGTAGGTAAAGAGGTCATTTGAATTATCAAAATTGTTGGTCTTAGGCTTACTTGAGTTTCAGTTTTGACTTCTTTTCCTACCATAAAGTCACTTTTGTGCATTGGTTGAGGTGGAAAATGACATCTTGAACAACCCTTCAATGTGTTAAGAAGTTAAGGATGATAGAAGCTCAATTTTGAGATGCTTTGATACAATTGACTCGAACACCAATGACAAGAACAATGGCCTATTAACATGACATCTTTCATGAATTGAGTCTGAAGTATCTCAATTGGGATAGAAATTGCTCAAACACCAACCAATTAATCACAAAACTAATTGAGCCAATGTGCTAAGAGCACCAAGATTACCAAGGAAAATGCCTTCCATGTTCAACTTGATCGAATTCAAGCAAAATAATGGCCTAGGAACACAATGATGAGTGAAATAATTCATAAAATGATTGTTTATGAAATTAATCTTGCCATCATATTTATAACATGAAAGATTTACACTAAAAAGAACCTCTCATAAAATTTTTGATCAATCCTATAAAAAACGATGAACTATGGATTTAATGTTAAAATTTTATAAAATTAGGATAGTAAGAAAATCTTAAATGATAGTTTGAATAAATAATTCATAATCATTCATAATTTGAAAAGCTTAATAATTAATTAATATAGATAAACTAAGTTATTGACTTAATTTGAATTTTGAAACTATATATTAAAGCATTTATAACCGAATTGAAAAATGAATAATTAAGTTTAAGGAAAAGATGTGGGTAGCTTAAATTAGGAAGATCATGATAACTTAAAAATAGAATTAGTGATCTTATAGAAGCCTTACATTAAATCAATTCGGGTTGTAGAAGGATTGAAAGAAAATTTGATATCCAAAATTATATAATATGTACTTGACAAAGCATGAAAGAATGAAATTTATAAAAATTTCATAAAGAGTAATGTGAAAAAGATGAAATATTAATATATTCAAAAATTAGTATCAATTAAAGCTTAAGTTCAAATGCATCCTTCTTATTATTATTATTATTATTATTATTATTATTATTATTATTTTAAGTTCAAATGCATCCTAATACTTAAAGAAAAATAGACAAGTGAACTAGTATATATAATAGTGAACTTATAAACTTACAATTTAAATAGAAGCACAACTAATCTCTAAGTTAAATTATTCATTTCTAAATTTACAAGTCAATTTTACACTTACTTACATAATGGATAGATTCAACACAAGCAATAGCAAGGTTGATTGATTGGGATAATTGCTATGACATTTTTTAATTAGAATTATAACTTTGATCTTTCCAAATTTCTTCTAGACCATAATATATTATCTCAGGTTTTAATAATTTTCAAATATTAATTTTTATTTAGCTATTAAGTGATCAGTTATTGATTTTTATTGTTGTTTAAGAACAAGTAAGAGCTTAAGTTGAGGAAAATTTATTAACTGTAAATTATATATTATTTATTGTGTTTAAATTTCATGAAAATATATTGTTTTAGTGGTGTTATTGAAGGAAATGTTCATGAGAAGGTAAAAATCTACAAGTGTTAAACAACCTCTCAGTTCTATCATCAGAAGCACCACAACGTATGATTTTATAGTACCCCATCACTAGAATAAGACATTGCAGCATTGGTTTCCCTATTTACAATGTACGATTTTATAGTACCCCGACACTAGATTAAGACGTTGCATTTTTGGGTACCTATTTAATAGCACCGCCGAGATCCCAATGTGAGTTTCTCAATATTACATGGCGTGGCTATGCCAAAATTCAGCACTACAGCTTTAAAGCCTAAAAAAAGTGAGCTTTGAGTCATGCAACACCTTAGTGCAAAAATTCATATTAAAGTGGCATAGTGCTCAAATTTTGGAGTCTCACGGTGGAGCATTTGCCTATTTGAAAAATTATGCTGAGTTAGCCAAAAGATGAGCTATTTTAATCATTAACCCTACCAAGCCATTTAGCACCGCAGCAGAGTCAACATTACATCACCAATGACTAGTTCATTTTATGCCACTTCACTGCCACTTTATCAAGCACCACGATGCTTGAACCTGCTGCTATATTTACTATAAATAATTTTTTTTTCAATTCTTTTATTTTGAGAATTTTATCACTTAAGTAAAATTATGTATTTTTAAGTTTATTTCCTTAGTGCCCCCTTAAAGTAAATTATAAAGGAGGTTATGGTTTCTGTAGAGTAACCTATAAAATTATGAAATGATTTAGAGCTTGATCAATCCTAAATAATGCATAGATTTTTTTATTTAAAAAATAAAAAACCCACTTAATATACGTAAAAATATTTATTAAATCAAGTAATATAGTGATAGAGTATAATATCATTCTCACAAGGAAGAAATGCTTACATGTAAATACTAGTACTATTTAATAAAATTACAATAATTATCCTACTCAATAAAATTTGGTATTGTGGTATGCAATAACTTAAATAAAATTAGATAAAGATA